AGTACAATGTAAAACTCCTCAGGAAACCTTTTATCTTTTTTTAAGCGTATTGTTTTTATTGGTAAGTGTTTGAAAAACACCTGAGAATGCTGTTTTACACTACATCTATATACCTATTCATTGTGGCCAGGATGGCTTCCACTGACTTAAGACACATGAAGCCACTACAGTTTAGAAAGCTGAAAAGATACTTTCCTCACAGTGGGGAAACACAGATGTTGACATATTGCTGGAAAGAAGTGTTTAGTCTCTGAGGAAAGTCTCTGACATTCCTCATAAAGAGGACACTAAGAAGACACTTGAGAACACAGAGAGCTTTACTGCTGGCATTAGCACTGTAATGTCTGAATAAATTTTTCTGTACTCAAAGCCATTTCTCTGTGTTAAAATGTCAGATGTCATTTGGGGATCATGTGATCTGCACAGATTCTGTACAAATTTAAGCAGAAATTTAAGAAAAAATCCTAGGCCTAGCACAGAAACTTGTAGCTAACAGAGGGCAAACAGATTTGCAAGTGCAATCAAAGTATCAAACAAGCTTTAATGTTTTTTAACTACTTTTTCAGTAGATAAGACTATTCTGGAAAATTTTCATCTGCAGAAATGGCAGCAGTTAATGAAATAAGTGTACACAACCTTTGTTTATAGTGCACATGCTACTATGGGCTGAAAGACAAAGGAAGGTATTAAGAAAATTATTTAAGTGTGAGAAGAGCTTTTCTGAAACCACATTGGACATGGTTCTAGTCTCTGAAATGACGGAATCTACAATTTCACTGTAAAATGAAGACCTGCATCCTCTTCTTCCAAAGCTCTTTATTTTTATTCAAATTCCTTCTTGAAATGGGAGTCTCAAATTTTAACACAAGTAGCTTCAGAAAGGTTTCCTTAATATAGGCTTTTTGAAATAACTGGATATTTGGTAGTCATGTTGATTTTAGTTACACTGACTGACTTCTGAGGTATCCTCTGACATGATCTCTGTGTTTCAGCCCTCCTTTCCTCAGCCATCTTCACAAATAATAATAATAAAAAAGTCTAATAAACAAAATCAAGAGATTAGTATGGTGGGGAGAAGGTATTTGGTTAACATGGTATAACTGAGAGAGAGAGGAGCAGAAGGTGGCATGAGGTAGAAACAGCCTTAAGGTCTTTCTGGATGGCTTGGAATAGTGAGAGAAGGTGAATCTAAGCAGTACATGCAAACAGGATTTTCCAATATGAATTGGGGATTGCCCAGGTGGCCTTGTGCTCACGTTACAGAACATTCACATTCACATTATGAATTTCATGACCATAGAACTAAAGGAATATTTGCCCTTGGCAGAGACTGGATAGAGTGCATACCCACCAGCAATGAATCTCCATTCCCTCCCACAAGCTATGCTACTTCTATTAAACTTATAGCGAGCTCCTGATACTTCTGTTCCTCTAGTTAGTGCTAATGCTTTCTGGTCTGAGGAAAGGAGAGGAAACCAATTCTACTCTGTGCAAGGGACATGCTCTTTTCCACCACACTGGCACATGCTATTAGAATCAACTGTTGTTCCCATGCTTGGAGAAGGTTTGTTGTCTGAAATCCTATATTTCTACTGGTCTGAATCTTTCACTGTACTTGCTTGTTCTGTGTTTAATGATGTTTGGTTTAGCTGCACATCCCATACAGCAACACTCAGTTTTCCATCTGCGACTACCAAGCTTCACGTCCTTCCTGCTCTATCACATGTGAGGGTTTTCCACTTTTTCTTTAGTAGCAGGATGGTTTGTGGATGTGTGCCTCTTACTGCTGGTTTTGAGACGACTAGAACTTCAGCAGTCCAGAGAGAGCTAGGAGCCACTGATCACAGCCACCAGCACAGGACAGTCATTGAGAGGAGCTATCAAGGGCTCTTTTATCTCTTTCTGCTATTCAGCAAGTTACCAGGAAAAACTGGCATGGAATAAAAAGAACAGATGACAAGAGTGGGAAAATGGGAAGATAACAAACAAATATGGAGGGAAGACAAAAGAAGTGAATTTACCTTACTAAATCTTGGATTAGAACTATTTTGGAGCAAAAAATTAGAGTGGATGTCAAAGAGATGACAAGCTATGTGGCTTGAAAAGCTTCAAACTTTTAATGGAAAACTTTTTTGATATATAGAAGAACAGGCACAGAGCTTTCAACTACTGTGTGCCTTGAAGCATATTTATATGTTAACAATGTAAATATTTCAGCAACAATATTTATATTGGTCAAATATATAACAATTCAACCTAGATCTCATGGAAAAGGCGAGGCATCTCTGTGCCACCAGTCTAGACTCTGAAGCTGTTTACTTCTAAGGTTCTCTGACAGCAGAAAAAAAGGACCACAGGGTTTTTAAAAGATGACACTGTGTTCTTTGAGTTCTGATTTGTACTCACCTGCAACAACCCAGTGCAGTGGTACAGGATGGACTCAGCTGATAGCAGAGTGACAGACTTTCATGAGACTATCCACCTCCTCCTGACCTGAGCCAGTGTCCTAGCTCAGTTCCTTTTCCATTGCCTCTTTTCCTTCCCTCCCCTGAGGTCACTGTCTTTTCCTGGCTAAGATGTCTGTCAGCTCTGCTGTGAAACTGATAACCTGCAGAGCAATATAGCAGGCAGATATGTGTCTAATGCTGCTGCAGAAAGATTCACTACAACTCATCTCTCAATATCACTAGGCAGTACAGGAAACAAAAAGAGATTTGTGGAGAAAAAGAGAAATCAGACTTCCAGATTAAATCCCCTTGCCATTACAAGAGCTTTCTAGAAGTTACTGTCTTTTCAGTGAGAGAAAGCAAGTTTCCTTTCCCCTGTCCTGGTTTTATCCCTTTCCTGGCTGGAATGATTCCCATCTAGAAAACTGTGTACCTCCTTCGTGTATCTCATCACTTAAGAATCTACTTCAGCTGCCTGAATTCCCACAGGTGTCTTGTTTGTTAGCTTACCTGGAAGAATGGGTTTCTCCAGAGCTAATCACAGGTCACTTTCCAACTACCACAAATTTATGTGTCTATTGGTACTTTATAACATCAGGTAGTGGACACCTGATGTCTCTCTCTCCTAAAGAGAGAGGTATAATGCAAGTATGAAGCAAAAGAAAGCCATAAATGTCTAAATTATACAAAAAATGCCTGACAGTGAAAGTGGTATCTCTCAATCCATAGAGATTCCTAGGCAGAGGGCTTGAGGTGTTCTGAAACTAGAGTGAGAAGTCTCCAAAACTAGTTAGCATGTTGTGCATTGGAAGGGATGCATGATGGTTCAAAGAAATAAAACAAAAACTACTACGATTTCTTCTCCTCTCTTTTCTCTTCCCATCGTCATTTTTTAATGTGTTGTCCTAGTTAGAACAGCTGGGACCACTTCATCACTGTATGGGTGTAACCCAAAACTGTGTATTCTATAGCCTTCCATGCCATTTCCCAGAAACTGTTTTCAGTAGACCATTTACACCATCTGCCCAGAGCAGCCTGACTCCTCAGGCTATAAACTAGGTGTTAAGAGGCCTGCCAGATAGGAGGATGCTCTTGTCCTCATACCCATTGTGGAACTCCCCACCTTGAGGGAGGTACTGGGCATTCCTGCCTGAACTGGAGGATATATAATCTTGGAGTCTTGGGACTTTTTTTAACCACTCGTGGGATCCAGAGGAAGACTGCAGACCACCACTTTTCAACCAGACTGCAATCACCACTCTTGACTGGACTGCAACAGCACTCTCACCAACAGGTTTTTTCCCCTCTCCTTTTACTTTGGATTCATGGGGCCCAAGGAACACCACTCTGTTCATGCCCCAGGGTACTGGGTTATACATTTGGGTTTTGTGGGTTAAAACCAACTGTTTGTCTGTATAATTGTATTTATTGTATTAATTTATTAAATTGTTATTCTGACTTATAATCTCTCCTTTGAGTTGAGTTCATTTCCCCTGCTGGTTTACCTTTAAACCAGCACATGTGTCAATTTTAAAAATAAAAATTTCCAACCATCCCAGTAAACAAATTTTTAGAGCAAGCTGTGCATGTATTTTCATATTCACCAACAGAAAATAATAAATTATGTCTTCCTGCAGAATCTGACAGTTATTGCTGCATGGAAATCTTACATATTAAAAAACAATATACCAGTTTTTCTTCCTTTGTTTTTTATCTTTTTAATTCTATCAAGCATGTGAGTGAACTCTTCTAAAATGTCTACAAATGCTGAATAAAAATCTGCATAGAAAGAATCCAGAATTTTCCTTCTTGGAAAGGACATTTTGCTTTGGAGGACAGACAATAATAGTAAGTAATATTCCAGAAGTTAATTTGTTCCTCATTGTCTTTGTATGATGGTATACTTGAACCAATATGTGCTTAGGGAAGGCTGTGGTGCTACCGCATTTTTTCAAACCTTAAGAAGGAAAAAAGAATTGTGAATTATTTGTTGCCCAGAAAAGAGCAAAATACATCCAAACCTCTTGAAGACCACTTATAAGTGAACTACAAAACAGACTTACATAAAAGGTCTACTTTTAACACTTCATTTTTTTAAAGTTTAAAGGATGGAACTTAAAACTACTTTCCCATAATATGAAGTTCACAATTTTTCTTAATCTATTTATGTACCAACATAAAAAAAATCTGCTAAAACACAAGGGACTGAAAACATGTTGTGAAAACTTAAAACCTTTGAAATCTCTGAAAACATGCAAATTTTGGTATGAAAGTGTCATGCCTAGTCATTTCCGTACATTTACAAGCTCTCTACTCTTACACTGAGCATTAGCACAGGTTTGCAATCACCAGCTATGTTACTGTAAAGTAGCTTTTCCACTTGAGTATGCAATGGGATAGGGTAAACCAACCTTATTTAGATAAATAGATCCCTGAAGATCAGCAGACAAGACCTCTTGAAACACCGCTGTGACATCACCGAGTGAAGCTTGATGTGAATGTCTGGTATAGCACCCCGTTCCAATATAAGCTGTGCTCACTGGCAGTACAGCCTGCTGTCCTCGTTTACTGCCACACAGATGACTGACTCCACAGAGGAGGTCCATAGGCATCCTTTTGTCCAGTATTTCATAATGTTAAAAAAAGCTACAGAGCTTTGCAGAAAGATACATATATATCCTCCAGCAAGTGAAACAGGTAGGGGGGTTTTGCTGAATTTTAGAAACATTATGTCTATAATAATAAGAGGACAAGGTAATGTTTTGATTTAAAAGAACTGTGCAATAACCAATAACTCTGGACAGCTTGTTGACTGTATGTTTAAGGACAGCAAAAGTGGATTAAAACTCCACCTTCCCCACGATTTGCTCTTTCTGAGACATTCAGCTGTACCATGACTTGGACACTGAATCCTGTTCCAAACTGTCTTTGAAAGTAGGACCTTGCTGTGAGATCTGTAAGAGGAAGGAGAACACAGGAAGCTTGGGAAGAAGCTTGAGTACAGCCTGGTTGTACTGTGACCTCACACACCAATTCCTTCCGAGGACCTTCTCAGTCACAGCAACTCTTGCAGCAGCTTGGGTTTATACCAACTCTGTTGGCCAGTAAAGCTTAAGCTTGCAGATCAAATATGAACAGGATGGGCCTGTTCAGCCTCAAGAAGAGACAACTGAGAGGGGACCTTGACAATGTTTGTAAGTATCTGAAAGGACGGTGTCAAGAAGATGAAGCCAGGCTGTTCTTGGTGGTGCTGAGCAATAGGACAAGAGGCAATGGGCAGAAACAGATGCACAGAAAGTTCCACCTCAATATGGGGAAGAACTTCTTTACTGTGTGGGTGACCACGCACTTGCACAGATTGCCCAGAGAGGTTGTGGAGTCTCCCTCACTGAAGATGTTCAAGAACCATCTGGACGCAATCCTGTGCCACGTGCTCTGGGATGACCCTGTTTGAGTAGGGAGGTTGGACCAGATAACCCACTCTTGTGCCTTCCAATCTTACCCATTCTGTGACGATTCTATGATTCTGTGATTCTCTCCACAAGAGCTTTAGAAGGACCTCTCTCCTTCACTTGGCTGTTGGATTTTTTCCCAGGCACTTGGGTTAATTTTCTGCCTTTGAAATTTTCTTTGAAAGTTTGACCTGTCATTTGGTTGAAATTGAATGACATACATGAAGTTAGTGGAGAGAGGGTGACAGGAAGACACAGCAAGGTCTCATACGTATCATCAGCTTAGGAAACCGAAAGGAAAAGTCAGAAACCAGATGAATGTGAAGTATGGCCTGGCTGGAAAGCCTACCACTGAACAATAAATTCCTGTTTTTCCAGCCACAACTGTGAGCTACCTTCAGTCACTGAGGCAAAGGGGGAAGGGTATTGCTGGGAATGGATGTTGAAGGAGAAGAGTAGTGCTTGCTTTCTAGCCCCAGTATATTGAGTCTAGCAGAGCTAGACCCCTCTGTGGTTGTATTTTTTTTTTTTTTTTAATGTCAGGAGTGTTTAGGCTAGATTCAGTCCTGCCAACTGTGCAGCTTCATCACATGCTTTGGGGAGGAGAAACAAGTTATGCAATAAACCTAGAAAATATGGTTGAAACTACCAAGCTTTGCATCAGGCTAAGGAGGAGGTTTAGTATCAGTGACTACTTCAGTCTGTTTTTAAAAAAGGCAACAATTAGAAACAAGGTTTCTTTAGAGGTGGTTTGTGGGTTTTTTTACTCCCCTAAAACATAAAAATTCAAAATATTCCAGCTGAAGGGTCTTATCTAGCCCTCATTTCAGGTCAAAATTCTTATGTCCCATTTTTATTTGCCTCAGCTGATTCTATTGAGGCATAAGGTAGAGTATGTTATTCTATAATATTTATACATAATATGGAATCAGTTGCTTTAAAATCTCTATCCTACCTATTTCTAGTATCTTTTCTTCCAAACCCCTTTACAATAAAAGAATAATGAAGCCTTTTTTTTGAATGAGTAAACTGGAAATTAGGGTACAATACTACTAGCAAGCCATGCTTTTTATGGACTAAGGTCTGTCTTTCCTCTTATGGAAAGTACATGTTCTGTATGATAGGACTTTCAAAAACATCTGGTCATTATAATATGCTTTGTTCACTGAACCAACTCTTAAAAGTTTCTCCAATTTGAGGCAAAGTGAAGATGAGGCTCTCATTCTGAAGAAGCTGAAAAACTCTGAACATCCTCTTAAACCCCTTAGGTTTAAGAAATTTTGGAGACAGAATCTTGTAAAAAATGCATGTTACAGAAAACTGCATGGAAATATTTTTATTTACTGCAAAGATATCTGTGCTTTAAGCATTAGGCATAAGGTTGTTTCATACTGCTGGTTTCCAAGGTTTCACGATGTGGATCAGAGATTCCTCTGACATTCTAGCTCTTTCATGAAGCAAAAACCATTACATTTACTACAGTTAAATAAATCTTTATCCTTTGAGAAAAAGATGAATATTTTAACACAACTGTGCGGAGTCAGAGACCTACTTTATGTCTTTCCTTGTTGATACCTGAATGGCGTGCAACTAAAGGCAATGATAAGTAGTACAAGAGGCTTTACAAAGGGACATTAAACTCAATGTTTAATATTTCTCAATATTTCTCAATAAAGAGACCACTGTTTTGTTTCAAGAGCTCTCAAACTAAATGATGTTCTCATGTTATGTTTTATATTTGACACATGCATCTTGCAAAGTTTTGGTACATTCAGTGAACACACAACTGAAAAAAAAACTTAGCATTTCTTCCCAGCACACTCGATACGAGTCAGCATGCCTAATGTTAGTCTTACAGTCCTTGCTAGTTCTAATGCACATCTCTTGGAGTGGCTTCATTCCACATTACAGACAAGGAGAACAAAAAAAATCCCAGTAGAGTTACTCAGTTATGCTTGGAGACAACTGATGAAGAATTGCCCTGTGCTGCACAGAGGAGCTCATGGATGTAGAACAAATGAGGTTGATACAGCAGGCACACGTGCCACTCACAGAGCATGTGGAGGCAGAGGTCTTCAGACTACCATTCCACTGGAGGCCACCTGAAGCCTCTTCTGAAAGGAAAAGAGCTTATAGACAAAAAAGAAATATACAACAGATATTAGCCCTAATAGGAATACTTTCCCCAGCAGTACTGCAGGTGTTAGTTACCTTCTCGGTTTGTGGGGCAAAAGTCACCCAGAAACCTCTGTTTCTGTTACTTGTTAGTATCTGTAGCTGAGATACAGTCAGCACTTCCAGCACTGTACTAACTGTGCATTGGCATTCAACACTGGATAACTGAGCATTCCATATATTTGTAATTAATAATTCATTCCAGGGCTGTCTTGGACTGTATGGAAACATTCTTCTGTTCATTGAATTTCCCAAAATTTGCGAAGTCTTCCTAAGGGCAAATTCCAGCACAATTCCTTTGTTTTTTCCACACTGGGCAGCCATGCTTATGTTGTTTGTAGGGTGCTGCTTATGGTGAACTTTGAGTTCTGAATGCCGTTCTACTTCACGTCTGTTTCTAAGCGTGTTTTACGTTTGTCTTCATTTCCCACACTATTGATAAGAGTTAATTATGGATCTTTCAGTAGGCCAAGGGCTTTGCCTCAAATTGCAGTCCTCGTGTGGTTTTGTATCTAAATTCACCTTCCCAAAATTACCTTTGAAATGTAGACCAGTCGTTAACTCCATTTTTATTTGCATGTAATATCTTGCTAGAAAACATATTGTTTCTGGGGCTCATTTTTGTACATTGCTCCTTGTTCCAACATAGCATAGGTTGTTAAGCACCTCTTCTCGAGTTATCAAAAATAACAAAACCCAATGGATTCTTCAGTACCATCTACTTTCAGAAACATGAATGCTCCTGCCCACCTTCCTTTTCAAATAGCACTGATTACTGCCAAAATGAAAGAATGTCTGAAACTTCTCTATTAGCCTTTCCAGTTTCCAGACTTCCAGCTCTTAGTGGAGGATGATCTGCTCTTTTCTTCCCCTAAAGCTGGGGTAACAGTTTCCATTACTACTTTTGTCATCTCTGGACTGGTGCCTGCCTCTGGTTGGTATCCCTCGCAAGGCCCTTGAATGTCCTCCCTCCCTCAAACCCAACATGTGGCTCGAGCCCTGTTTTCAGCCCACCTAAGCATGCTCTTCTGTAGAGGGAACTGCTGGAATAAGGTCCCCCAGTACGGGCTGAGACAACTCCATGAGCAATTCTTACTGAAGGAGGAAGGAACATGGCAACATGAGGGAGATTTTTTCCCCCTATTTTTATGTAAATGTATCTGTCACCCTTCACTCCCATGACAAGGCAATGCTTTCAACCACAAGCAGGAAGTGGTTAAAGGCATGTTGCCAGGCAATTCTTTTCAAGTTAATTAATCATTACAGATAATTTGAATATAGTTAATGAAACTGATGAGAACCAAGAAGTTGTGTACTCCACATGCTCTGACAGGAAAGCTAATTCAGTTGAACCAAAAAATGGCTTATGAAAAATTATGCAGATGATGTTGCTCAACACTCCTGCTCAGGTTCTTGTGAAGTAACCAGGTATCTTACTTTTGATTTATTTATCCATAAAAAAAACTTCCAAATAACCTGCTCTATCCTGAAACGCTTGTGAATTACTCAAAATATTCACAACTATGACTGCACTTTTTTTCCAGAAAAAGACTCAAATTATAAGCTGCTGCTCATACCAGGTATTAGACAAGCCTTTCTAGTGATATTTCAAAGTTAAAGAGTTTTAAAAAATACAAAATATTCTGCAAAATCCAACAATTGTGTCTTGCTATAAATTACTGAACAACATTTAATGTGGTTCTGCCAAGGACTAATCAAAGTTTCCCTGTGACTGCTGGAAAACAGCATTTTTGCAACATTACAGGTTTCCAGGGGTGTGGTAGTGGTGGAAAGATTTTGTTGGTTATGTTCTAAGTTTCTGGTTGGGGGAAATCTCTCCTCTCCCTGCCTCCTTTCAAATTTGTTCAGTTCAGCATTAGACTGTTTCTGCCACTGATGCCATGATTCATCAATTTCCCTAATGCTGGGAGCACTCACTAGATTTATCTCCTCTGATGCACTGTTTTGCCTCATTGCCTAAAGCCCACCATGTATCACTGAAGTTGCATTACTGGAAGTACATCACAGGAAACAGTGGGGAGAGAACACCTTGATTCAATGGAAAGGTGCTATTCTGCATGTAATGCCTGAAATACTTAGATGGAGTTGTTTTAATGATGCTTTGGTATTTCTAAATCAAAGTTCAGAAGCTTTGCAGAGTTATTTCAATCATTCGAAATGAATACAAATATTTAAGTAAGGCAGATTTCCATTGGATTGATAGTCTCATTTTTGCCCAAGTTAATTGGAACTTCTATCAGCTCTGTGATCTTTTCAAATTCACATTAATTCAGAAGAACAATTTTACTGGAGTGGGTCCTTTCCTATTCACATCACTCATCATTTTAATTGCCTGTATTGAACTATCATTTGTATTACTGAATTGACACTTTAGTGACAAAAGGCCAAATTCTGATCTTCCTGTTTAGTGGTAAATGAGGCTACTCTGTTGACTCTATTGTAGGTGTTTCTTCCTTTGCAGAGGTGTGGTGAGCCTGAGTCTTCTTGCAGTAATCAGGAATGCCAGCCACTTCAGCATTTCTAATGACTCCTTCTCTGTCCCTGCCTACTTCTCAGTCAGCAGTTCAAGACTGTAGACTTCATTTCAGTTAGCCTTTTGGTAGGCTGAATTAAATCAAACTGGAGCTCAGTGAAGTAATTTAGTGTCACTACAACCCCTTTATTCTTCCTTTGCCTTCCCATTCCTACTGGCACATACACACACAGTCACAGAATCACCGAATGGTTGGGATTGGAAGGGACTTCTGCAGTTCATCTAGTCCAAACCCCTTGCTCAAGCAGGTTTACCTACAGCAGGCTGCAACAAGTATTTCCAGAGGAGACTCCACAACCTCTCTGGGCAGTCTGTTTCTGTGCTTGGTCACTCTCACAATAAGGAAGTTCTTCCTCATGAAAAGGCCACAGGAACTTCCTGTGTTTCAGCTTGTGCCTGTTGCCCCTTGTCCTGTCACTGGGCACCAATGAAAAGACCCTGGACCCATCCTCTGGACACCTTCCCTTAAGATATTTGTTTACATAAGATGAGGCAAATTAAAAATTTAATCAATTTATGGGTGTTACAAGGGACTCCTGACATTCATGTCCTCTTCTACTCCTCAAGGCCTCAGAAAAGGAGAGTCATAAAACCCAGTATTCTCATTTACCTACTGAGGCTGAGAAAGTGATCTATTATCCTCTTGGTACATCCAAGGCTTTAATGTCAGTGAGGCCTATGGAAACAAGATTTTTTTTGTTGTTATGGTTGAAAGAACAACCTCTGCCATTACACTAAAAACCTGAGTATCTTCTATGTTTTTGTTTTATTGTTCCCTAAAATTCACACTGAAGAGTAGCTGCTACAGTGAACTAGTTATCTAGGTATCTCTGTCCATTTTGTCAGTTCTGCTCCAGAATTATACATAATGCATACCCTCTCAAGGAGAGTTTGTTTTTTTCTGAATGGAGAATTATTCACCACAGCTTCCAAGCATAATTTATTCAAACTCTCTTGAAATGTATCGATTAGGATGTTCAAAGTAAGTGATTTGTGGCAGTGAATAAATTCCCCCCGGGGAACAAAGGTGTCTGCTGAAGATGAGACTTGGAGAGTATCCCAAGGTATTCTCAAGTGCACAAGAAAAAGATTAATTATATCTGCCCCTAAAATGGTTGTGGCTAGAAAGACGGAATTGCACAAGGAGAGTGTAATCACTATTCTCCTGCTGTGCTTTAGCAGGGAAAAAAAAAAAAAGAGGATTTGATTTGGAGGAATAAAAAGGTTTTGAAATCTCTCCAGCATCTCATTTCCTCTCCCTAGGAGTGCAGAAACTCCAACTCATCCTACATGTATGCAACTCTTTTGATACTGCTCTTATCATTGCACTTTTTCCACCTCCACAGGTATAGTTCCTGATGCAAGTACCACTGCTGTCTGTCTCAGTGCACCTTACCACTGCCTGTGCTACAGAGGCAGCTGTGGTAATAGCAGCAGCAATAAATATGGTGGGAGGTGCAACAGCAGCAAAGAATAACCACTTTTTTTTTTCTTTAAAATTCAGCCTAAAAATGGGGAGATGCTTTATAAGCAGGTTTAATTCGTAACTGGCAAGGTAATTATTCTGTTAAAGTATTTCAAGAGGAACATGAAGCTCTGCAACTGTGTGCATGTACATAGTTTTCTGTGGCCCTGCAATTAGCAGAACATAAGCTTTCCACTGGGCATCAGTGTCAAAAAGGCTATTCCATGGAGTAAAGAGAAATCTAGATTTTAATCTTTTTTTCACCAAAATGTGATATTGATGACACCCATTTCCTGTGAAATTTAATTTTTTAACCAGCACTATGAATGTTGATATAATGCTGCCATGTCCTGCAGAGAACATATTGATAATATACGGATGCTTTCCAGGGCAGGGAAACAGTCAGGGCATTAAGCAATCCCAGTTTGGCCATGCTAGTTCCCCTTGCCATCACAGCAAACAAAATCAGTAATGCTTTCTGCTCACTATGAGATTTTTCTGGGAAAGAACTTACCTTATATAACATCACCTTAACTTTTATGCCCTCACTCCCCAGCTTGCTTTTCTTCTTTTGGCTACACAAATATATTTCTTTTCAACAGTGTCGAGCTACTAGCCAACTCCCATGTTAATCTGGAATAGGCATGGTAAGGAATTTCTCAATTAAGCATTCTTTAGAAAAGTCTATGTTTGTCAAAACTGAGTGCTGAAATAATTGGTTTTGACAGATGTTCTCTTAAAAAAAATCTTTTATAGCAAGTTTGGAAGTTGCCAAAGTATCTCACTGAAGTGGTTTAGTTTTGCTTTTTTCTGTTTTGGTTTCATTTGGATCAATGGAGCCAGTTTTTCATTTAAAGAAGTCTTTGGGTTTAAATTAATCAATTTATATTGGGAATTGAAATAAAGGAATACCCAAACCCTTCTGTTTTAATTAATTCATCCTAATTTTCACATTTTCCTATGAATGAAGGATGGTTATGCTTAAAAGACTTTTTTCACTATTCAGGGGAGGAACAGTTTTGAAAATGCTAAAGAGCCTCCTGGGATAGGCCAAATCTTTCTGGCTCTAGAATTGTTCAGGATTCTGTGTCAACTCATTCCTAGAGATGCCAGCAAGTTAAAAGTAGAATACAATACTTCTATGATAATATCAATTTTCTACTTGCTTATAAACCACTAATTTTCTAGATCTAAAAGTTGCATTCTCCTCTGGAATCCAGTTTATCTTGTTTTCAAGCAGTTGTGCTGAAAAAACCCTGAGTGCTTCCTCATGAATAGTGAAAACTGCTGTGATCTGACTAAAAATAGAAAAACAATTCAGAGGAGAAATCAGACCTCAAGTTATAGAATTAATAAATAGTTGGTTAGGGAAAAAACCCCAAACCAATACTTAGCAAACACATTGAGAATTCTTCTTGTACCCAAATCATGTTTGCTTGTTTCTTAGGATGTGAACAAACACCTTAAATTTGGCTCTCATTAACTGATTGCTACTCATTCAGTTAAGGTTATTTTACAGCAGAAAACAGTGTTCCCTCATAGCAAGTTATGTATTTAACAAAGAGTAAATACTAACAAAAGCTTTTTAGGTTAGCAAAGCTTTTCTACTTAAGAAAACAATTATACTTGAATACGAATACTGGGTACAAAGCCAAATACATTGGCAGCTAGAAGTAACTTGGTTATTCTAAGTGTCTCGCAATAAGAAAAAAACCAGAATATTTAGATTTTCTTGACAATTTAATCTCTTCCGTTACAGACATCTAGGCTACCTCTGCTAATTAGCTCAATCCCTTTTGAGTACACCAGTAGACAAGTAATGATTGAACTGAAGGAATGGGACTCTTTGGGAATAACGGAGAAGAAAAGATAGAACTTCACTCAGTCAAGCAGTGTCAGTATTATAATAATATCTGATATCTTAAAATAATTATCTGATGCTTACTGTCATGGCTGGGCTTCACGAACGAAGATTTGGGAAGGCTCTATCCACATTTGTTACAAGCACGCTGGTGGCTTATGAGGCCAATACGTGACAGACAAATCCGATTGCAAAAGGCACAGCAGAAAGACTCCTTAGATGGTGTATTCTGCAGGACACAGTTCTTTCTGCGTTGCCTTTTCTCCTCAAGGGTGATCCTGCGAGTGTTCTCAAAGGAGACAGCTGCGTTATAGATGGTGTGTCTCCAGGCCTCCCGATTGGAGGCTAGAGTAGACCAGTTATGGTGATCAATATGGCCAAGGCTGAGATGTTGTTTCAGGGAGTCCTTGTATCTTCTCTTCGGGGCTCCTCTCATGCGGTAGCCAGTGGCAAGTTCACCATAAAGCAAGATCTTAGGGAGGCGGTGGTCCTTCATCCTGGAGATGTGCCCTGCCCAACGCAGCTGTGTTCTCAGCAACATGGCCTCTATACTTGTGACTGCTGCTTGTTCTAGAACAGATGTATTGGTCACATAATCTGACCAGTGGATGTTTAGGATTGTACGGAGGCAGCGTTGATGGAAGCGTTCTAGGAGACGCAGGTGGTGGTAGTAGATGACCCATGATTCGGAACCAGGTGGTAGATGACCCATGATTTGGATGTATACTGTAAACTTGTGCAAAAAGAAATCTTATATGTGAGAACAATAATTACTCCTGTCCATGCATAAAGCGATCGAGTGACCACAATCAAGTTACTGTATATTATGACAAGGTCTCTAGTCCTGATTGCACCCCAGCACATGAACTGTGTGGAAGGTATCCTGTCGGGACAACTGAATGGATCAGGGATGCAAAACTGAGTGATATGCAGCGACTGCTGCCTGAAAAGTTCTGCTTCAAAGATTAAGAAATTACCCTGGTACTTCTTTCACAAGATGAGTATCTATTATTTGCATAGCTGCTTTCTAGAGTTGCTGAATCATAAATACATCTAGGAATTATTACTCACCATTTACCATCTCTTTACTCTTAAACTGGAAAAGCTATATAAACTGATATTTTAAAATGAGAAAGTGAATAGTGAACAAAAGCTTTACATGAGCTGTTGGAGAAGAGACATAATTTAAAGCACAGCTGTAGTGTACATGAAGGAATAACCGTTTTATCCAGTGACCCAATAAATCTACCTGGATATATTTCTGGTTTAACTCCATCTTAGCTATTGCAAAGACACAGTTTGGTAAGAAAGTAGCTTTATGCACTAGCATATAATTTTCATCAGATTCCAAACACCTGAGATATGCATCAGTTTCCCAAATAACTCTAGAAGGAAGAGGAGTTTTGGTTTTCTATAACAAACCATAGAACATAAAAGCAAGTGTATAAGGGATATTTTGCAGAGTTATACAAGAAATCATCAAGTAAGGATTTAGAACACAATGTTTTCTTGAATGCCCCAAATGTTGCCACATAGAATTGAACATATTTCATTTTGGATACAGTTAAAGTTTTGGGTTTTTTTTTTTCCTCTTTTCTTTTTAGGACCAGAGGAATGAGAGACAAAGTTCTTAACACAGAATGGATAGCCCTTGCACTTTTTACTCCTATGAAGAAAGAGGGAATAATATAGGACAGAGATTTTTGATTTATTTGCTTGACAGTAAAGAAGCTTGACACCGAGAACTGAGATGTCAAATTTTTATAGAACAAGCAGAAGCAAAATTACTATTTCTATCAAAACCCAAGTAATAGCTTGGATACACTGTGTCTCCTAAATGAGTCAGGATTACTCCTGGGCAAACGCAGAGGACAGTTTCCACTCCTTGCTCAAGAGGATGACATAGGCCATGATGCAGGAGTTTGCAGATGTTCATCTTGTTCTTCTTTACTAAAGCAGATCTGCCAGCTGTCTCAGCAGCCATGTAGTTGTAACAGACTGACCTCAGATTTCAGGAATAATCTCAGTCTAGTTGCCTGTTGTAGTATGCCTTTCTGGTAGCTTAGCTCTCAAAGTCCATTAGTTCAAGTGAGTTTATGGAGGATAAGCTGCAGTCAAGACAATACTACTTTGGTCTTTAGCATCATGTCATATTCAGTCACCAGAATGATATGAAAGAGATTCAGAGTTTTCCAGTCCATGCTAAATGGTATACAGTGTTCCTCACTCAAGCTTTTCTTCAGTGAAAATTGCAATTTAATTGCCCACTTGCAGTTTACATGGGTTACTTCAGTATGCTTCCTTTTGGAAAGGTAGAAAAAAACCCCAAGCCCCAATCCAGCAACATACCTCATATAGCATAGTTTCTTGAAAAGATGAATTTCTTTAAATTTGGAGTCACTAATCCATAACCTCCTAACTACCACTAACCTGGATGCAACCTAAACACTAGCCTCCTTCAGATACAGAGGGTATTTTTTATCAAATGGGGGCAATGAATTACTTTTTTGATGTGATGCTGAAGACAAATGAAAGGAAATCAGAAACTGCAATAGATGGAGAAATTGAAGTAATATATAAACAATTACTCATTCTTTAGACATGCTTGGCAAATTTTCCTGGTAAGAATCACTTTGGAAGATAATTTAATAGACAGAGAGTACAGGAAAACCAGTTTGCTTCTAATGGCATTGCTACGGTGTAATGGGGCTGAGATGGCTATATTCAAGACAGATCCATTATTTGTTCTAGTTTTACCATAAGTGACACTATGATATTTCCAAAATCAAGCCTGAAAGCTCATTAAAAACATTTTGTTGGCTTGACTCATAACAAAATGTAAGAATTGCTTTTTTGAGTCCTGCTGAATGGAGAAGCTTTCAGAACACTCAGACCAATGACCCTTAGCTTTTACAGCAAAGTACAAGGCGGACTTAGTGGTCTAGTGATATGCTTTTATCGCCCTTTTTCTTTTAATGACGTGTCCTTTTCCATCTAAGTTATTGCAACAATGGATAGAAATGTTGCTTCCCCATTTACTCATTTATTCCCATTTCTGTGCATTTGTGTCACTTCCATGAGAGGCTTTAAAAATTTGGTCAGTCTGTTTGTTAGTCTTATACAAAGATACTTGCATGCTTTTTAACTGATGAAATAAGTTCTGAGCTCCAGGTGAAATCCTGATAATTAAAGTTTAATTTAGCATAAAAAACCCTTTCTCTTACTGCACTTTGGTTATAACAGTGTTCCCTGCTGTTGTATTCCTCTAACAGACCACATATATTCTTTATTTGATTTGTCTTTCAGTGTTCATTTTCACTCATATCCTAAAATTTGACAATATATAAGCAAGACATTCCTTTCAAGAAAAAATACAAAAACAACAGTACAGAGTTAATCTTTACATTAACTCATTAGAAAATCTAGTGATGGAGATGCAGACACTCTGTCAGTGTGTCCAACTTTACATAGAAGGCAGCGGAAAAATCTGCCATGATTCACATTTGGCACTCTCTCTATGACAGTTCACCACAACTGTAATAAATAGCTAACAAAGGAATTCCACTTGTGCCCAAGTCAGGCACCATATCAAACTGATCAGAGACAGTCAACAAACTGGAGAGGAAAGATGATCCAGTAGCTGAGGACTATCCTAAAAGTCTTTTACCTTTCAGTAGGACTTGAAGACTAGAGGTTGTGAAATTATGTATTTCAGGTATTCATGTAAAACATAATTTTTCCATTTCATGAAACATTTATATGACTTTAAAATCTTTCCACGTTTGATCTGACTCCAGACTTCTCACTTGTGCACAGGTGCACAGGTTGCATCAAGAGGAATGTAACTGTTAGCAGATAAAAAGCTAACAGGGGAGGCATGACATGTAAGTACCTTTTCTGCTCATCATGAACTTAAACTTTGCTTTCTAAATTCAGGTGGAAGAATGAGTGAATGACTACTGGATGAGGAGAAAGGAATCTTTTCCTTTTGATTAGACAGTCAAAAAGTCAAGCTCAGACTTGAGAAGAAGATTTTTAAGCGTTAAGAGAGTCTTGTCTGGAATTACCAAAACTGCTTTACATTATTTGCTTCAGTCCTATAATCACTTTTAAAAAACACCTTCTGTCATATATGACTCCTGTCATACTAATAATTTCACGGACTAGGGGAACAGTCTCTTAACTCTTCCATGGGTCTCTGGAACAGGGACTAACAGATAATTCAGAAATGTTAAGCGGAGTTTCCTAAATCCATCCACATTCTGCTTGCATCAGCATAGGTCCTGACCCCAGGAAGCCATTTCCTTACAGTCTTGTTTGATGTTGCCATAGCATTTGAAAGATTAAAAACAAATAGTCTCTTTACAGAAGGCAACAATTTCAAAATTGTCTGACACAAATCCCAGAAGAGCTCATTCGTGCCCTGACCAAAAGCCGTGTCAGATGAAATGGTTAGAAAAGGTCTGCCTTCAGTGGGCCCTGAATCCAGGTTTGGTGAGTATCTTCACCTGGGTGAAGTTAAAGGAGACTTGATTATAGTATAACTTCTTCGAAAACATAAAAGAGAAAGAAGTTTGGGATAATGGTTTAGGATAAACACAGAGCTACAGAACTTCTACGCAAGGATAAATACCTTTTAGGATGTCCGGTTCTTTGAAGGGAACTTGGCAGGTGTTTGTTCTATGTAAGTTTGTTTACTGTAGGTTTAGTCTTTGCCTCAGGTAGGCATCTAGACTGTGCTGGTTTTAATATGCTTCTAATGACATTTTTCTATTTGTTTGAACAACAGTTGGTAAGTTGAATCACCTTTTTTAGCTTTTGATTCAGTTATTTGTTAAATGTTAGTCCTATTGCATATGATCATATGTTTTGTAAGATAACAAAAAATATTAAACAAAAACATAACTGCAAGTTAAAAGTGGAGCCCAATAAAAACAGAACACCAGAAGAAAAAAAATCTCAGTTCACATGGGCAGTATTACCAAAATGAGGAAATGAGAAAGCCGGTCTGATGCTCCTTCTGCTTCTACCTTGCACTGTAGGGACCACCGGGTTTCCCAAAGCTGAGACTGCTCAGACCAGACACCTCTAGGTGCAGAGGCTATGAACCATTTGTTTTTAGGTTTTTTTGTGGGGTTTGGGGGCAGGTGGGTGGGTGTATTTTGTAGGGTTTTTGTTGGGTTTGTTTTTATTTTCCTTCTTCTAGGAAGAGAACAGCCTTGCGTGAAGGACCTGGGCATCTGCAATACCTTGACAACATGAGACACCTCAGAATGAATTCCCAAAAGTAGTATCCCAAGTATTAGGCTCCTTGGCAACTTTAGTCAGATTCAGTTCAAGGCATCAGTTCTTTGACTCACGCTTCCTGGTTGATGTGTTTCTACTGTGTGGTAACACAAATCAAGTATGTTTTGTAGCAGAACACTAACTCCATAGAAACAAATGATTAGCAAGAGTCTTAATTCCCTCATCTTCACATGGGATGAATCCAGGTGTATCACATCTTGGCTGAAGCTGTCCCTCCTGTTTTATGTTATGAAAGAAAAATTTAGAAAATGGCAACAGTTTTGGTGAGGGCAGGAGGGATGAAAAAACCACAAAGCTTACTTCTGACCAGCCTCCTTCTCTGGCTGTGTTCTGGAATGACAGTTCATTTGTGTCTTGTGTTTTGTGATGAGCTCAGCCTTTTCAGAAAATGAGAAGCGCACACTCAGCGTGTCTTCTGGATCGAGCTCCTCTGGGATCTCTGGCAGACAACATGTCCTGTTGAGAGCTGGTTGTGACCTAGTTAGCCAGAAGCAGTTCCAAGCATGAGTAATAGGCACTCAATGCACTTGACTGGGAAAATTTGGGTACCTAAAGGTGTGAGGGGAATGGGATATTGTGTATTCTTAGATACTCTTAGAGCACTGAAAGCCAGTTAAGTCCTGGGTCAAGGTACATACAGCAACTACTGACATACCAGCTTGAGGAAAGAAGATAAACTCCTCCTTGCCTATCTCTGTGCTAAGCCAGTTCTACCTATGCACAAATACCTAATCCTGGAAGGCTGCAGATAGGAAATGCATAAATTAAGTGAAATATTTTAACCACATTTTCTGTTTCTCTTCTAAAAACTATGTTTTCCTCAAGATGACAATTAGACATCCCCCAAATTACAGAGTTCTTAGATTTGATTCCTGAATGTATATTCAGGCATTACTGAAATGGCCATTTTCTCTTTACCAGAGGGCTGAAACCCAGGACACTAGTGGTGCCAATAAGTATGCTACTCTAATATTTATGAATCTTCCATAAACAGAATTGATGAAAATAATATTAGGGAATATTAAGGAATAATATTAGGGAAATCTTGGATAGAAGAAAATTATTTTAAAAAACCCAAAACAATGACACTAAATTAGTTTTTAAATGCTAAGGGTACTGATCAGGATACAACGAATTTTCAAATTATCTCTAACAGCAATAAAATCTTTGGGAGACTTGCAGTTCACTCAACAGCACCTACCTCGTTAGGACCTCGGTCTTGTAATAGAAAGCGTGCCGTGGATAAGAAAGGCCTCCAGTAGATTTGCCACATAAAGTAAATAGCATGAACTTTCATTGCTATCAGAAGTTGTCTGTCTTCTTTCTCTTCATGTGCAGATCTCCACACACAATGAAAGCACAGCTTTGGGAAAGCTGATCTTTTTTCTTTCCAAGATTGTTTGCTCTTCCTTTGCCAGAGGTGTTTTGCTTGTTTTGACCATGGTGTAGGATCAGAAAGGAATAGCAGGAACAGAAGCATTATCTAAGTTTTAGTTCTTATCTCCGTTACCTCCAGATCATGGAAATTTTGTTGCATGGCACATAGTTTTGAGTGTTTCAGGAGGAAATTCTAGTTGCAGATAGGAAAAGAAAACAACCTTGGTTTAGTGTGGTGTTGTTGTTGTTGTTCTAGTGTTGCCCATATACCATTATTTATTGCACATAGAAGAATTATTTTATTTCTTAACACTTTTTTTTTAAAGCAGGACTTGTGTAATATCTTTCTCAATAATCAAGCTGAACAAACTTCTCCTTGTAAGATTGAATTCCTCAAATGCTACAAACATCTTCTAATAATCAAAGGCTATTAGAAATCAGCTTTTTTTTAAAAAGCAACTATAATATATTTCTTCTGTTCTCCTCAGTCCCTCCTATAAAGTTCTTCGGCATCTCCTGTTCTGTTTTCTAGCTCTTTAATGGTGGATTCCTTTTGCCCACAACACATACCCCTACTGCTTAACCCTACTCTGGCACTCATGTCATCATTACTGTTGCTGGAATCTTCCTCTTTCCAGCCTCTCACTCATCAGTGAATGGCTTTCTTCTCCTTGATGATGCACTGAAAATTTATATTCATTGGATAGAGAAAAAAATCTTTATCTCCTTTCCAAATTTTCCTCTCTGTTGTGTACCATAATGTTTAAAATCAGGTGCCAAGCTGTTAAACTCAACATTTACCATCAACTCCCCTCTTCTTCATTTATCATCTCAACTGTTATGAAATATTGTTCATTTTTCTAAAATCCCTCTTTTCTCTCCATTTTAGTAGCAAAAAGCCTCTCTCTGCCTCTGACCTTTACTTTTTCAGTGTCCTGCTCTCCTATTCCATACTTCCAAGACCTTATCACTGTAGCCATTTAATCCACCTGTTCTTTACTAACTTCCTTTTTTCTTCACCAACTAGCATCCAGACTCATCACTCAGCACCCTCATTGCTATCTACCATTACAATCTCACTGTCTATTATGCCTGTTTCTTGCCCTTTCACACTTTAAAGGTCCCCTTTAACATCTCTGTGTTCTCTCAGTCTGTGCTGGTTATTACTTCTGCTCTTCAGATTTGTTCCTTTACCTGGAAGATCTGGATAACCAATTCTGCAGTGTACACACTCTCTAAAACTGTCTATTAGACCATCCCTGTCAATAATTTAGTCTTCTTGCTCCCCAAGTTCAGCAGTTCTTGCCTCAGGATGTAAGCAAGGAAACAGCTGGTGAGCCAGGGGCAAAAAGCCCACAATGAAAAAAAATGTGGCATAAAAAGTTCTTTATATCTTATGGAAAGGATGTATGGAAGGCAATGAAACAACACTTAGCATCTCAATAGAAGATTCATGCCACTTTGTGAATAGCATAAACTTCTGTTCTCTGTGGAGCTGACTCAAGCACTTCTTCCTTCGGGATTTTTTTTTTAGTTTTGTGGAAAGAACTAGTGAGAATTAAATTGAACCACCTGCATATCTGGTCACAAAGTAAGATTTTGCACATTTTTCTGCTAGGGTGAATGCCTGTGTTCATGTTTATCATTTCACTGTGGGGAAATGTAGGAAGGAGTTCTGCCTTGCAGTTACTGATTTGGACTAACACGTTTCCTCACTGGGGCAGACCTGTAGGCAAGTATTATGATACTTTCATGTAGAATATTTTTTATTACATCTTTTAGGATGAAGTAGCACCAAGCAGTCTAAGAAAGTATATGTCTGCTCTTACTGACAGAAACCATCCCTAGCCACAGAGCCTCTATACCATTGTGGATCTATTTCTAACCTTCCTATTCTCATTAATATTATGGAAAAAGTTATACATGCTTCTCAAAGACAATCTAATCATCTCAAAACTTCTGGAATTTTCTTATTGCGGCTTCACTTTAACTTACAGCTTTATTGCTATAATTGCGTCATGACCCATGACTTCTGGAGAAAGACTGATAAAGGTTAGAAATTCTTGCTAACAGTATTTCATCTAAATCCACACCTGAAATTTTCATTTTGGGGAGTTGCAGGTTAGAATCCTAACAAGAATAAGCATATGCTGTAGAAACCTTCTGTCTATCTTTGAGAAGCTTTGCTTACAAGTGGAAAAAACCCAGAAGTCCCTGCCAGCTGTAAGCATGGCAAGTTCCTATGGCCAGTTCCCATCACTCTCCTGTGAACAAGATGACAAGATTTCTTGTGCCTGTGTGGTGTAACAACAGCAGCAGAGCCAGGGAGGCTCAGGTACTCATATCTGGGTGGGATGTGCAGCGCCTGATGGAGGACCATCCACCGGACACTCAAAAGGTAAGTGCTTATCACTTCGGCAGCCAGGCCAACTCAGTGTTGTTCCCACATTTGTTGAGGCATCTGAGCTCCAGACTGGCCTTTAACAAATGGTGTGTGCATACCTTCCACTTTGGGGTAGTGGCTGCTTCTGATCAGGGGACAGGGGTTTGGGCACAGCCAAATTTTGTTTCCTAGTGAAGTCCCTGTCCTGAGATAGTGCTATTTTTCATAGTGTATAGTAACATGTAGGATGATAACAAGTGGAATAAAGGATATGGCATGGTTATTGTCAGTTCAAACCTCTTCTTGGGTCTATAGACAACTTTTTAGATGTGAATGCAAACCCCTCCTAAAGTAGGTTAAGTGTCCTAAAGACATTCAAGTCTGCAAGTGGGTCAACACAACAGAACTAAGTCTAATAACAATCATCAACAATCACCAATTCATCCTAGTGGCCCGGACTCTTCATTTCCTTGACAAATGTTTAATTTTCACTTGTGATTTGACTTTTCTTTAGAAGGTGAGTCATGCAACAACAAATCAAAATTATGACATTTTTTGTTTACCCTGTGCAATCTCATGTAGGTGAACCAATGCATTTGCAACATAGTTGTTATTGCAGAAGCCCTTCTCTTCTAGACTACTATATGTCTAGATTAATATGTTACATGTTTATTTAGTCCTACAAGATACCAAGGTTGAGAAGCACTTATAAATAACATATAGAAGAGTTTCCTGAGAGTCATTTTGTCTGAAAAGAGAAATTATACTCATATTGAAGCTTTCCTGTATCCAAATCAACATGGAAATGTATTTTGATGATGGAGAACAAAAAAAAAAAAAGATCCTTTAGGCTCCCTCAAAGTTTATGGTGAATCATTTCTTACACATACAATCTCATGTGTTTTGCTGCCACTGTGCACGGCGAGGATCGTACTGCATCACAGCACTGAAATTCAAGGAGCACATTTCGAAGATTTCTTCAGGTATTAGCTGCTCCTTGAATACTCCTTAGCAAGGGATCCCCTTTAGGTAAACAGGAGTGAGAGAATGCTCATGGAGTAATCACACAGCCTACTGCATTCACACTCCAGGGAGCTCCACAGATGAAGGGAAAAGGCTGGAGGAGGGATTCTGTGGTTGGGAGTAGTGCTGTTGTCATGACATTTGAGCCGCCTTGTTTCACAAGATACAGATTTTGCAT